CTTATGTGGTCTGAAATGCATCAGTACAAAGTCAAGTGGACAGGTGCCAATCAGCCATTAGATTTTTCTGATCTAAATGATCCATTAGGATCTGCCTATCTATCCAGAAAAATTCACTTTGTGATCCAGCTACTTGTTGTTTAAGATTTACAACATGCCCACAAACAACTGCCTGTTTCTCCCATGCAAAAGAATTTAAGTCTAATGCACATATTTTTAAGATTCAATTTAAAAAATGGTCATGGAAGGCTTGATATCTGTGCAGAACTAGTAAACACAGGCAAGTTTTGTATGCAAACAGTGTACTTAATACATGGGCTAATATAATACACCTACATAAGTCTTCATTATTTCTTTGAATGTGTATAATAGATGGGAAAAGTCTGCTTGTTTCTGTATTGGGGAATCCCAGCATCAAGACATATGTATGTATGTTGGTAAAAAGATTGTAGGAGTGTTTCTTCTTCACAATATGATACTATGATAATGGCAATAATGATATTAAGAAAAGCAAGAGCTGCCACCTTGAACAAGGTCAAACCTTTGGCTCTGTGAAGGTGGATGGCCTAGTCAAGCAGCAACAACAGGTGACAAAACAGCTGCCTGGCTATATTATCTGTCAACTTCTTCTGCCAGCAGAAAGAGATTATTTTCCCTCTCCAACGGCCTGTACATTTAAAGGAGAAAACCAAATAGGGTATTCCAAACCACCAGTGCTCCCTCACTTAACATAGAAAATTTAAACAGCAAGTGCAAGGTGGAGGGCATTGGAGCACAGTCTATTCAAGGGAGGATTGGCAACCAGCTCCAGCACCTTAGATGTGTGGTTAACCTCCCTGAACTCTGGTTTCTTCTAGCCTCTGTGGTTGGTGCAGGACCAACTCAGAGAATTATGGTAAGCACTTTTCACATGTTTTACATGTAGTCAGTATTTAATAAATGGTCACTAGCATTACTGTGTCTAAATACCCAAATAATGCAATGGCTGCATTTCCTATGTAGTGAAAAAGACAAGTTCAATTGTTGCCATTGCCTGGTGATATGGGAAGGGAAGACTAAAAAGAGACCTTGGGGAGGGGGTTTAGGTGGTGAAACTGCTCTGTATTTTTATTGTGGTGTGGGGATTAGGTGATTTTATGTGTTTCTAGAAGCTCACAGAGCTTGACATCATGAGCTGAGTGTGGTGGCGCACACCTGTAATTCCAGCAGCTCCGGAGGCTGAGGAGAGAGGATCTTAAATTCAAAGTCGGCCTCAGGTTAATGAGACCCTGTCTCAAAATAAAAACTGTTTAAAAAAGGGCTGGGGATGTGGTTCAGTGGTAAAGCGACCCTGGGTTCAATCCCTATTACCAAGAAAAAAAAAAAAAAAAGAACATTAAAAATTGACAACACAAATCTTACTGTATGTAATGATATCATGTTTTAAAAAGGATCACCCAAAATATTTAATTAGTTCTGATTAAAATAAAACATCCAAACTAACATTTCAACTTCATTTTTTTCCTGGAGTTAAAAAGAAATCTAAGCCCTAAAATGCTACTTCGTATTTTTAGATCAAGTTCTCTAATTAAAGGATAGAGCTATTTGTAAAAAATGGATGCCATCTGAACAATTAACCAAATTAACTGTCTCAAAATAAAGCATAGATTGTATTGAATAGTGTGATGAAGTGAATTATGGAAAAAGAAAATGAAAGTGATGTTTGCGTTTACTAGATTACTTAAGATGCCAAACGTAATGGCTTCTTCCCTAAAAATCCAGTAATGGGCCTTTGTAAGTCATCTTAAAAGTCTATTGTTACTTTCAATAAGCTAAAGAAATGTTTTTTAAAAGTCTGATGATGATTTCCATGACTTATTTATCATCTCAAGCTATTTGTGAAAGGTTCCACAAGGCTGCTCACTCTGAATTTTCATCAACACTGTTACCATAACTAAAGAGCTGTTTTAGTATAGCTCTGCGCATCTATCTTGGCAGAAAATGGAGTTTTACAACAATTTCTTACTCAATGCCATATTTACAAAACAGATGAAGAACCAAAGAAATTATTTTAAATGAGAAATATAATTCTGATCAGCCTAAAGTGTATTTCTGCATATGTCCTATGTGTTAGCAATAATTCCCTTTCTTTGCCTACTGTTTATCACATTTAGGCTCTGATTTAGGAATCCACAGCTAATGAAGATGGAAGCTAGCTAGCAAAGGAGCATGAGCCAGATGTTTCAACTCATACAACCCCCAAAATACCAGCCTCTGTTCTTTTGCTCCCTGCTATTCCCCTGTCCCCAATTACCACCTTGCTTACTAATCTACTCCCACCTCTACTCATAAACCACCTGACTGCATTCACTCTTTAAAATCCTTTAGAAAGAACACAAGGAAACCAAGGAAAGATGTCATTGTTGCTTTTTTAACATGGGTTTCTATTCAAGTTTTTGTTATTTCTTAACAAAAGTGAAATATAATTTCTGCCACTCAAGTGACAAAAGTATCTGTGCAGTATTCACTTTGTGAAATATGTTAAAAAGACTTTCATATTCCATTAAGGTATTGTTGTGATGCTGTATGCTATGTCTTTAGAAAATACCACACTAAATTCCTAAAATCTTGATACTTCAAGACACTAATTCAAGGAGAAACATACCAACTAGTAACCTATTTGAACATAGTATTCTCTTTCTTATATTCTAAACTCAAATCAACTTTCAACATTACTTTTGTAATTTTCAAGTGGCTAAGAAAATGCAAGTTGAAAAGAAAGATGAGAAAAGGTGTCTATCAAGTCATCTTAGGAGGTACAAGATAATGAACCATATACAAGACTGGTATATCCAAAAACCACCTGTTTCAGAAATTAATGAAACTTAAGAGGGAAAAAACACATGTATTTCCTTATTATTCCTCCATTGAAACAGTCAGCAATTTATTGAGCATCTATTATGTTCCTGGCACTGTGTATCCAGACACATGATGGTGAACAAGAAGCCAACTACCTTCATTAGAAAAATGAAAATTACCTTTGCAAGTTTCAGAACTCAATATAAGTATCAATATAACTATCATTTTCAAAGCCAGTGATTTCTGAACAATTAATCATTTCCCCCCAAGTGTTTCTACAGCTTTAATGAAGAAATTATATCTACTGACAAGTTCTCAATTCCACATATCACAAATATTGACAAACCATCCTTCTTCCTTATCTCCCATGAGTGTAAAATTAAAACAGATGCTGCTGTCATTCATCAAGTTATAGTCTTGTGGTTTTTAAATATTTTTTAGTTGTTGATGGACCTTATTTTATTCATTTATTTATATGTGGTGCCAAGAATCGAACCCAGTACCTCACACATGCAAGGCAAGAGCTCTACCACTGAGGCACAACCCAGCCCCTCATTAAGTTATATTCTGAATCCCACTACAGACACTAATAAACTGATTTTAAGTGCAAAAGCAGGCCCGCAAAATAGAGGGAGAGGCTGCTAAAATTTTCACCTCAAATTTCCTTAACACCACAATGCAAAATCACCACAAATATCTGATAAGGAAAAAAAAGAATTGTCATGTATCTGTCAATAGGTTTGATTATCTTGTACAGTTGAAAGCAACTTTCATGGAAACAAACTACATAGTAAAAGAAAATACATGTCACTAAAAGCTACATATGCAGCAAAAAGACATGGTATTTTAAACTTTTTAGTTTAAAGGTTAGCTGCAGGTAGTTAGCACACTTGATCTTTAAGCCCTTCAACTGTGCCCTTACCCAGACATAAACTGTACAAACATGACAAAGCGAAATGCAGTTTCACAACTGCCTCTTACATAGAGTAGCAAGGTGGTATATTTCACTAGAAGATTACTGCAGAAGTTGATAACACCAGTGGACATTTTTAGAGCACTTGAAGATTTCTGTAGGTCCCATTGAATTTCAAACACCACCAGTCCAACTCTCTTCACTGGGGCACATTCTAACCTCTCTCCCACGGGTTATCAGCCACAGGAAGGGTGGGTGCAACCCTGTCAATGTGCCTTGCTGCTCACTGTCCCGATAACCCCTTGATTTTGAGAAAGCAACATTCTCATATTTGCTCCAAACTTGAGCAAGCCTACTGGGCTAGTCTTGCCTAAGACTCTGCTCTTCTTAGCTCATCAACTATTTTTTTTTCTACTTTACTTCATGTCACGAGACTCACTTTTACATTGCAGACTAAAATGTAATATCAGAAGGAAACCACCAACAAACTCCTAATATTACTTCTTGAGTTTAAACCCACAATGCAATTGTTGGCTTTTTTCTGCTAAATAAAAGTGTGCAAAAGCTATCAAAACCAAGCAAACTGTCCAAAAGAACTTCCACAGATCTGGAGGCCTGCCTACTGCAGCGAGCAAAAGATTAAATCGTGCGGAACTGTAATCTCTCAGAGCTTTAGAGCCTAAGAAAGCGGAAATCTGCATTTATGTTCAGAAACCTACTCCATTTCTCCCTGTGATTATGTGAGGGGAGATTTTGCACTCTCCAAGTATAACCATTGGCAAGAGGCAACTAACTGTAATATAGATCACAAAAAGCCTATTAAACACTCTCTGTGCATTGGCTAGGATTTTTAAGAAGATGTTTTCACACAACCCCTGTCTTTAAAATACAACAGCAATCTTACAGGGAGTCTGTCACCAGCCTAGGCTTCCACTGAAAAGCCTGCCCTGCCCAGGCAGGTACAAGGCCCTCATTCCAAGCCAATCCTGGGAGAGGTGACAGCCCCAAGTTGCGCTGGGGATGTATGAGCACAGCTCCCCCGCACATTCGGGATCACCTCTCCATTCTTTCCAAATGCCATCTGCATCCAATCCCTGTTCAACCACTCCAAACACCCGTGCATCATGATTCCTGTTAGCAGTTGGCTCCCCTTCAATCCCCTTCCTCCACCACTCCCGCCCGAGGAGAAGGGAGAGACAGACCCCAAGGAAGGCTGCGGGTGGGCAATGAGCGCCCTTCTCCCACCTACCTTGATGATGCTGCTCCGGCGGGGCAGGCCGCCCTGCTTGCTCTCCCGGGTGTGGGGACAGGCGGCCGGGCTGGGGGTCGAGGCGAGAGCGACGCCGCGGGGTCCCCTGGCAGGGCTGGCCCGGGCTTCCTCTCCGGACACGCCGAGGCTGCAGTCTCCGTTGGAAACCCCGCCGCTGTCATAGCGCGCCCGCCCGTGGCCGAGGAGACCTCCCCCGCCGCCACCGCCTTCCCCTGCTCCGGCTTTCAGGGCGCCCTTGGCGCCGAGGGCCGGGCCCGGGGAGGTGGGCAGGGCCCCGCCGGCGGCGCCCCCCCGGCCGCACTCCGCCATGGGCGCCCCGCGACCCGCCTGCACAAAGCCGCGTCCCCGCGTCCTCGCGTCCCCGCCGCCGCCTCGGGCCGCCGCGCGCGGCCCCTCCTCCTCGCCTCCTCCCGCCGCCGCTGCTGCCGCCGCCGCCTCGGCCGCTTCTTCCGCTTTTCTTTTCTTTCTTTTTTCTTTTTTTTCCTTTTCTTTCTTTTTTTCTGCCTTTTCTTTTATCTTTTAATGTAGATGTGCTGTTTGTTTCGAGCTCGCCTCACGCACGGTTAAAGTCGTGGCGGCAGAATTATCGGGAGATTCCTGCAGGGGCGAGGCGAGAAAGAGACACAAGTCAGCTCGGGCGGCGGCGGAGCCCCGGCTCCCGGCACCTGGGGAAGGAAAACACGCCCCGACACACGCGCCGCTGCGGGCGCCAAAAATAACCCGCGCGGGCCGGGCGCCCACCCTGGGGCAGCCCGGCGCCCACCTCAGCGGCTCGGGGCGCTCACCCCGAGGTAACCCGGCGTCCACGTCAGGGGCTCGAGGCGCTCTACCTCGGGGCACCCACCAGGGGATGTAGCACCCACCACGAGGGACAAGGGCGCCCACCCCGGGGACCCAGGGACCCAGGCACCCGCCTCCGGCGCGGGGCTAGGGGACTCCCGCAGGCTCCCCGACGCTCTCTGGCCATGCGGAGTCGTCTCTTGAGGGTCTCGCGGCCCGGGGTGGGCGGCGGAGACGCCAGGGGCTCTCCAGCCCCGACTCCCCAGAGGCTGCCGCGTGCGGAGCCCCGTCACGTCCCCTCAGGGTCCCCGCAGAGGCCCGCCGCGCCGGCGGGAAGCGCACCGCGGGCCAGGGCGGCCGGGCCGCAAGGGTAGCGGTGCGACCCGGTGGGCAGCTCCTGGCAGGGGTGGCCCGGGCCCACCCACCCCTTCTCAAGGCTGTCTCCTCCCCAGCTTGGCACTGCCCCCTACAGGCCGCGAGTTCTTTTCCCTGCCGCCCCCTGACCCACCGCGAGCTGCCTGGGCTCAGCTCGAGGTCGCCGTCGCGGCTGCTGTCGCCACGGCCAGTCATCGGGCCAGGAGTACCTCGAGGCCGAGCGGACGGCAGCCGCGGGTCGTGGATACCCCCACCCCCCGCCGCTGCAACTGCCAATCACCCGCCCGAAGTCCGGAGGGGCAACCACAGCGCAGGCGGAGAGCAAAAGTCCTGGGGCTCAGGGACTCGGCCACTGTGCGCACACGAACTCGTGTCCTTCCCACCCAACTCGGGAAAAAGCCAACCGGACTCTCCCCCTTGGGCTTCCCCAGTGGATCAGACCCTTTTCACATACTGAAACCGATTCTTTTCGGTTCCCTTGGGCTCCGGAACTGTGAATTGATTCAACTGGTTGCAAGGATGCTGGCGTTGGGGTGACCAGGGGGATGGCTGGCAGGATTTGAGGGGCAGAAGACATCGCAGAGCCTATTCCCTGCTGTCTGAGTCACCCCACAGAGGTTTATCACAGTCATCCTTTCCTCCAAAGTCCTTCCTGATCTTGCCCCTGGGGATGCCTCCTGATTTAGGAGTCCCACCCTAAATCAGGCTCGGTGTTTGGGACCGGATACTACTAGCATCTCTACAATGGTCTCTTTTCACTCTGGTCCCCCTACCTACCCTGAAGCAGAGTGGCTTAAAAAAAACAAAGATCCTGTCGCTCGCAGGTGCAAATAACCTCCCCTGAACCTCCATCTCTGGAGCCAGACAACCTGAACTCCACAACTTGGTACCTGAGGCCCCTCTAGCCTGGCCCCACGTACCTCTCCAGGCTCCCGGGCTCCAGCCTTCTGCCCTTCTCTAGTACCCAAGCTCTTCCCACTAGTGTGTGTCCTTTTCCCGGAATATCCTCCCCCGTAGAGCGCGAGGGAGAAAGAGCCATGGGGGGAGGGGGTGAACTTAAAGACCTTGCCTTTATTAGCATGGTGTTGTATCAAACTGCCAAAAAGCCTCTGAGGAAATGGCTTTACATACATATACATATCTCCCTTATCCTAGAAGCAACCTCAAATACCTTCCTGTTATTCTTGGGACTGTTTTAATTCTTCTGATCTTTTGGATTCGTGTTTTTCTAACTCATCAGACAAGCTTTTATACATCTCTTGCCAACCTGGGCCTACACACTAACAGAAATATTTTCACATCGATAGACAACAATGTTTGAATATTTTATTCAGCCCCATCCCTTTTCATTTTTCTAGTTTTGTTTCAAAATATTTTTTTCTGTCTAGTGATAGTTTTGCAGAAAAATACATTCAAATAATTCAAATCCGGTTCTTAATTTGCTTGATGAAATTTGTAGTCATAATGGCCTGCAAGTATGTTGTAAGGGAGGAAAGGCAAAACACTGGGCCTTTATTTTTGAAGTTCTCTAATTGTGATATTTTGAATAATCACCCTAAGGGACCCCTCCCCTTTCTGTGTTAATACCTAATCATCTCTGAGTTTACCAATCACCAGTAAAATGCGATGACAGCCATAGGTCCTGCAATTCTTATCATGAGCATCCTGGGCTGAGTAGGGATGTATTGAGGAAAAAACACCCAGGGCGTTTTTTATGGAACCACCATCTAATTCCCCAGTGCCCTCCAAAATAAGCACCTATCCATCTCACTCTAGAACTCCCAACAGGTCAAACCAGAGAGACTTCGTTGAAATGGATTTGGCATTTAAATTAAAATGTTTCCCAAAGCATCTTGGCAGACCTGTAACTAATGATGCCAGAAGCCCAAGGCCTGTGCCAGGTTTCTTTTTATCCCCCTAAGTGCTTGTCTCCCACAAGCCTCTGGTCACACGCCTGCTGGTGTGCTAGCTGTACTTTTTCCATCACACAGACATCCAAACCATAGGTACCATTTCTCTGAAATGGTGATAGGAAGCAGCATGTTCCTCTGACTTGTGCAATTCTTGGCTCCCAACAGGCTTCTTAATAAGCTAAACTCAGATTTTTTTTTCACTGCAAACAGCATAGTAAGCAATTGTTTGTCCTCCTTCCTGCTTGATTTTCTGCAGTTACTAAGTGATTGCTTTTCATTTCTTCTATTTGGTGAGCAATGTTATTAAAGTAATGGTAAATATTCTGCCAAAATTCTTGCTAAAGTGTTTTCATGGCATTATAAAATTCATAGAAGTCAGACAAGGAGTCAAAATATAGTAGTTCCTCAGCAAATGCTGTTTAATGTTTCCTTCAGACTAATTTTCAGAGCAGGCCAATAAAAGATACTCAAGAGATTGATAAAATGTTCATTCTGGATAACTCCATGGTACCAATTTATTGTATCCATATACTAATGGTTGGGTTCTGATGGTTGTTCATAATGTTTAAAGTTAATAGATACCTTTACAATCTCATTGTATCATATCAACAATACACCACTTTATCTCTTTTAGGCTTTCTTCATATTTAAATCCATCTCAGCTTCTAATCATTGTTGTTACCCTTCATCAAACAGTCTTCCATTTGTTTGCATCATTAATTTGATGCCTAGAATTTGTACAACTCAGGCTCCATGGTCCATAATAACCTTCTTTCAGTCTCCCAAAATAACTCTTATGCTGTTTACCGACTTCTTGCTGTCATTTATACCCTTGCAGGTTATGAATTCGTATCTAGTTTCCAGTTCACAGGCTCTAATATTACAACTTTCCAAATTTTTCTGAGTCACTGAGCACTTGGCCTTCAGATTATTTTCTCCCTCTGTGTATTATGACAATTTTCGTTTCCCAAACCTCAATCTCATCTGATTTCCTGTATTTTTTAAAGGTCCAGTTCAACCTCTGAGCCTTCATATTTGACTGCACCCCATATGCTTAATGTGAGAGCTAAGTAGAGCAGAAAGTTAGAAAATCAAAAATGCTTTAAGGAAACAGCAGATTATATCAATGTGTTGTTCCTACTGTCTACCCATTTGCTTCCTGACTTAATCCAGGATATTGATCTTAATCTATTATGCTCTACATCTTAGATTATGTTTGCTTTATCATGATCCTTAACAACAAGAAATTATGTACTGATCACCATTCTTCCTGGGTACTAATGTGGCAAGTTAGTTCTCCCAAAAGTTTTCATTTCCATATCCTTAATCTCCTTTGGTTGTAAAGGTCCTTCACCCATTTTTCTTGGATCTATCTTCTACAAGTATATATGACTGCCAAGAAGCTAGGCACTCAGAGAATTACACTGATGCTTTCCAGCTAGTGAGAAACCACTTCATGAATTCATTAAATTTTCTCAGTGGCTATTGAATTAGATAGCACTTTGAGGGAATCTATTAATTACTGGGGATTCAATAAAATTATTCTGTCAGCAAAAGTAACAATATGAGACTAATATGATTTGCTCTAAAATAACTGTTATATATCACACCACTTTTGTAAATTCTGTCTCATGTATTTATAGCATTATTTTATTTCCAGAGTCATTGGTCATTGTAAGCTCAAATGCCTGAGAGCCAGGTAATAAGTGAAGCTGGAGGGATTTGTTTCATAATAACATTATAACTTATAGTTTTTCAACAGTGATATAGTTTGCATGTCAAATACAGAGGAATACTCTTTCTGATTCATCTTTGGTTTTCTAATTTTCATAGGTTTTGGTACAAGAAATATTTCACTTTCTTCTTAATTTCAAGAAAGATGCAGGAACATACTGATAAGTACAACTGACACTAAGCCATGTGAGGCAGCAATACAAAGTGGTAGGGAATCAGGTAAGCTGGTGAGGAATCTTATACTGCCATAAATGAATCCTGGCACAATCCTGCCAAGATCGTTATATTTTTCCAAAGAAGGCAGAAGTCTAGAATACAAACCTTACAATTTTTGTTACCTCGTTCTCTTAAGAGAAGAACATCCACAAATTAAGATCATCATGTATCATCTTTATAAGGTTCAAAAAAAAAAAAAAAAAAGAGGCCTATTTTTCCCTGTCCTATCTCAAACTGAATGATAAGCAAAGTTAAGAAAATGCCTTCTAAATCTTGCAATTTTTTTGGATCTTGTTATCAACCTGGTTTTTAAGGGTAGATTTATTTCATTCATTTTAGTTGTCAAATATCTAATGACATATCATTTCACACATCTGATGTGTGATGTATCATTGCTCACAACCCACTTCCCTTCATCTACCCATCCCATAATCCTAACCCCACAACTATTTCATTTCTGAAATTTGAAACTCAAAAATCTATTGTGCCGGGTTTCTGTTCTCGCAACTAAAAGGCTCAGGGTTCACTCTAGTTAAACTGGGCTAACTGGGCTGCACGAAATAACCACACAAGAGACACAAATACCTTTTTCTTTGGGGTTGCTGTGACGGCTCCTAGGACCTTAAGGGTCCACAGAAAGAGAGAGAGAGAGCACGTGCTGACCCCTTTTATTGAGGAGAAGCTATTCAAATGAGGCAAGGGGTCAGGTTTCAGGGGGCTGAGTCTATCTTCATGATGTCCACTGTCAGCAGGTTGACTGACACCTGGGTAGGCCACACCCAAGGGCACAGTAAGAGGAGGGGACACACACAAGGCACTTCCATGGAA